ATTATAACAGAAGAATTGTTTGTTTCTCCAAGAAATCTGTTAGTCATCAGAAGAATCAGTTGATGAGACACCAATATAAGATCTGTTAAGAATATTATTACAATTTATGAGCGATAGAATTGTATCTAAAAATTCTTGAGGAATACTATACTGCAATAAAGCAAAACCGGTTGATCTCAAAGCCATAATATAAGTATAATCGTCCAATTGACTTTAGCATGATTACTATTTATTTAATTATAAAGTTTTGAAATTAAATAAATATGTCAATAAAGTAAAAAAAAATCATGAGAAATAGTTTTTATTTCATACCTTCTCAAATGGATAATGGATTGCCAGCACTTTCCGGAGAATAATTAATTAAGTTTAACCCTAATCGATTTCGTATCTTTGCCTACTCACGCGTCGATCATGTGCTGCAAATGTTTTGCGAGCTCCACTACCATTTCCTAGTTTACATTATAAACCAATTCCACAATATAGAAGTTCCAATTTTTTATTAAAAAAAAAAAAATTGTAATAAAAAAAAAGGTATAATTAATTATATGAGAAAACAAAAACAAAAAGAAACGAAAATCTACCTTTCAAGTCCACCATAACGAAGCAATTATAATAAATCCATTCTGAACAAATTAATGTATTAAATCAGGTCGGATTTTTTTTTTAACCATTTAGCAACGCGGTTTAGAATACATCACGCGTTAAGATCTTTTTTTTTTAACAAAGTTTCCGTTAAAGAATTTGTTCATAAGGTAATTATAAAATATAATAGGTTTACACATCAGGTTAAAATTTAGAATTTGAAATTATTATTTTATTTATTTTTTTTGGTTTTAAAGAAGTGATGTGCATGTTATGCTTCCAAAAGTATAAAAATTTGATTGGAAGCTTCCAAGAGTGCTTCAAATCTTCCGAGTGCACATCACTGGTAGTAGCATGTGCTCATTTATATTTCAAAAAATAAAAATATTGTTCAGAAGCATTAATTTATTAACGAAAGTTTTGTCTACATGAAAGAATAGAGTTTCAAAAATGATAGAGGAATTTACAAAAAAGTCAAACATGGGAATATGGTAAAATGGAGATAAAAAGGTAGTTGGGAATAATAAAGATAATAAGTCAACTACTGCATGATAAGGGTTCAATATATGGTTCGTCCTTTTATCTTTCGTTACTCTTGTGTTTCAACGTAATCAATCCTTCGTCGCATACTCGCTCTCGACAATTTTTTCTGATAAGCGATTAAGGTATCGTCCAACATCCTCAATTCATACAATAATTAATTTTCGTTCCCTCCCCGTTTTCGTATGATATCGCAAGGTTATATTGTGCAACATCATCTTTTTCAACAGGAATTTTTTTCTAATTCCTTTATTTATTTCTTTAATATTGGGTATTGGGTATATGATTGTGGAAAGTGGTGAGTATGATTCCAACCTCAACTCCATTATTTGATTATATAGTCCTTTTTGATGGAAGGGTATTGATAGAACAGTTAAAATATAATTTATTGGATGTCGTTCAGTCATCAGTTATTAGAAATAATGTGTAAAGATTTTAAATCAGCAAAAGAAGGTAAACTATTTAAGCGAAAAATATTTGAAATAAATAAACAAAAGCGCGCCTGTTTTGCGATTATCACGTGCTAATGTAAATAAATACGCTTTCATCAAAGATTTTTGATTGGCTAAAATATTAATTTACCTAGAAAATTTCTAAGTTTACACGGGGTCTATGTACCCGTATCATGTGACATATACTTGTCACCGGCGTTACACCTCTCCGTCTTTAGTTTTTACTATTTATTTCAGGAACTAAAAATTTTTCGGTGAAAAATTCTTATTCATCATTCATTAACCGTCACATGGACGTCATACAGGTAATTTCTTAATTTCTTAATATTGGTAAAAGTAATGTTAATGCCGGCCGTATCACATGATCGTTTACAATACACCCGTGTACAAATAGAAATTGCCATTTACTTATATTCTTTAAAATATTTTCTATAGCTATATATATTCTTTAATAATAATTTTATTTGATATATATTATATTAATTAATAATAATAAAAAAATATATATATAAAATATCATAAATTTTGATTTAATATAATGCTTAAAAAAGAAATTGAACTGGTCAAAAATCTGAAATAAATTTATTTTACCAAAAATTATTTTATCAGCCAAGTTATCTAAAATAAAAACTAACTAATAAATTCTTCTTTTATATATATATATATATATATTATTTTCAAATTAATTGAAATAAATCTTTTTTTTTTTTTCAAATCAAACATCATTTAAAAATAAAATGTTTTATTATTTAAAAAATTTTTCAAATCAATTTTATTAAATTTTGCTTTAAAAATTTATTTACAATTAACTAAAAAAATGAAATAGAATATATAATTCTTAATAATAATTTTAGAAGTAATACTTTAATTTTTATATTTTTAAAATTTGTATATACTATTATTTTATATCTTAACCACTTTTTATAAATATTATCAATTTTTTTTACTATTTTTATAAATTCTTCTTACTATTTGATCAATTTATATGATTAAGTACTTTTATTAAATTAAGTAAAAATATATCAAAAAACCTTTTATGAATTTCTAAAATAACTGTTGATATAAATAGGAATAGTAAAATTCTAGATTCTAGTCCTAAAAACTTAGTCTTAAAACTTTCTGCAAATCTTTAAGTCTGAATTTAAAATTGAATGAATATTTGATCTTATAAAATTCTAACTAATAAAATTGTAAAATAATAAAATAATATAATGATATGAGGATTCCTCCAGCAAAGGGGAACTCGGCCAAAATTTTGTTTTTGAATTTTTTTTTAATTATATATTAATTGATCTAATCTTTCAGAAAAAAAAATTTTTTTTATATATAATATATTAAAAAAATATAATATTTTATAAATTATAATTCTTGTATTTTTCTTTTATTTTATTTAATAAATGATATAAATCTGCTAAAGAAAAACTAATACTTTTAATGAATTTCTTGCAAAATTTTACCCTAGTTTACAAAAACTGATTTTAAAAATCTTTAAAAATAACAGAATAATTATAATTTATTAAATTAACCAATAATATTAAATTGCAATTTTTTTAAAATCACGTGATTGTCTGAGCCTCCTCTTTTACTGAGGGGTCCCTATATACTAATATATATATATTGATTTAGACATAAAAATATTTTTTTAATAATGTTAATATATTAATAAATTGGATTTACCTGTACTAAATTAAGTACATTGTATTAAATTATGACAGAAAATAAACTGAAAATTTTTACCAATTAAAATAGATAACAGGGATTCAAAATTAATAAGATGCTTATTTATGTTAGGGGTTTCTATAATAAATATTATAGGCTCATCAGAATTATATGTGAGACAAAATTAACAAAATCATGTAAATCATACGTGAAGTAAATCTACTGATTTAAAAAAGGGAATTGTTATTCATATCTTTCTTTAGTTGAAAAATCAATCACGTGACTATATAATTTTAGCTAGATTTCAGCTAATAGTAGGTATAACTAACAATACAAATAACAGCTTATCTTTAAATAAGTTTAAAATATGAAATAAATGGATGTTATATACATAATTTGCACATATGAAATAATCAATAAATAAGTTAATTTTTCAATGCAAGTCAAAACTGGTTGCAAAATTTGCGAAATATTATGAATATGATTGCTTATTCATATAAGGTATATATAGGAATATAAAAGTTCTTTTCTCATTTCCTTTATCTAATCTTTAAAATGAGACAGATTTCTTCAAATATTAAAGAAGGTGCTAAGGTTTTTGTTTTGAACTCTGTTGTAGATGAAAATATCGCTCAACCACTTTGGAAGAATTATGAAAAACTAAACGACTTTTAGCAACAGTTTTACGAGTAGCATAAGATAATAATCGCTAGGTAATTTGTCCTGATTTGCAACTAGAAAATAAAATTAAGGTCTCAACAGATCATATGAAGTTCGCAGCTTTTCCTAAAACTAATTCAGACACCAATCAAGATACAAGTGACGAAGAGAGAATAAGTGGTAGTGAAACAGATATTTTAAGTAATACTGATGATAGTGGGGATGGAGAAGTCATAAATGTTCATAACGTTAATAACGTCTGATAGATCAATAAAATTATTACAATTAATCCTTATCAAGTGTCTCGCTCTTATTCTAATGTACCAGTTGTACATATTGCTGATATCTCTAAAGCAACACTCAGGCAATTTTTTAAGTAGTTTATACCTGTTGATTTTATAATGTCAGTAGTAATTCCATCTACAAATAAATGTGCGCGTGAATGGGAACGTGAGTGGAGTAATTTAACATGAACAGAATTTATGAGGTTTATTAGCATTTTAACGATTATGACATATGTAAAATGTGCTAATATTCGCGATTATTGATCCATTAAACAAGAAACAGCTGGAATTTCGCTAGAATTTAGTCAATATATGTCATATCAATGATTTTGAAATATCATAAAATATTTAACATTAACAGATATACCAGCAAATGATGATCCCTTTTATTTTGCATGGCAGTTTCACAATAAATTTAATGAAAATCTTACAAAAACTATCCTATCTAGTCCTTACCTTTGCATTGTCAACGGAGCAATTGACCAGTCATAATGAAGTCACGTAGATGACGCAGTATGACGATCTTTTAATCCAGAATTCTGAGAATACTGAGAATCCTGCGAATTCTGAGAATTCTGAAA